ATTTTAGTTTAATTAAAAATTAGAATACAAAATATATTATATTAATATACCATTATGTTATAATATTTGTAATTTATTTTTATAGTGTATAAATTACAAAACTAATAATTTGTATACTATACTATACTAATATATAATTTGTATACTATACTAATAGTATAATATACTATATTATAATATTATTTGTATACAAAACTAATATCTTTATATCTTTATATATAAATATATAAATATGGAAAGATATAAATATATGTAAAAATATAAAGATATAAATATATATAAAAATATAAAGATATAAATATATCAATATATCAATATTTAAATATATCAATGTATTAATATTTAAATATATATTAAAATATATAAATATATTTTTATTTATAGATTTTATATTTATATATTTATACGGATATACATTTATTTGTATATAAATATAATTTATTTGTAAGTTATTATTAAAAAATCCTAGTAGCTCAGTGGTTGGAATTTCAATTCTCCAACTCTAAGGTATCGGGTTCGAATCCCGACAATCACAATATTTAAACTTCTAAAAAGTTTAATATAATTAAGAGTTAGGGAAAATAAATATAAATAAAAACTTAAATAAGCAAAAATATAATATAAAAAGAGGTAGGGGAAATAAATAAAAATAATTAATTTTGTTATTGATTTAGCGATCGATTTAAATCGATCGCTATTTTGCGACCGAAATGAAAATCGATCGCTAACACATTAGCGACTTGGCTTTTTGTGACGACGCATTTCGGTCGTTAACTGATTAGCGACCGATTTTTTGCCATTAGCGACCGATTTTTTCGGTCGCTAAAATGTTTTTTTCTTGTAGTGTAGTTCAAGCTTCATGTCAATGGACAATTCTAACCATTAATCTCAAGGGAAATCAAATAATTAAAATTGTAGTGTAAATAATTCCACTATGGAATGAATGTGTTGGAATCTCCTTAAATGAGTGAAATAAACTTGAGTGAGCATATTTGGTTGATTGCCATCAAGGTGATAAAATGATCTCTTAAATAGAATTTTTAGTGTGAATTGACTATTGTCTGAGATATGGGAACCTAGTGTAGATAATGATACAATCCCAAACAAATCAACACCTTAACAGGTAAAAGATACATTGATAGTTTTAAAGAATGACATGGATTTTAACCTCTAATTTCTTGATTAAGCCTTCAACAACTAAGGAATCTTCACTTCCTACAAAGACTTAGAAGTTAGGAATTAACACAATGACAAAGAATCACTATCGAAGATAACTTGTATTGCTAACATTAATAGATCCCTAGAATTCCATTGCGCCTACCTACAAAACTCCTTTGAAGGCATTGATAAATAATGCACATTTGACTAAAATAAGTTACGGTCACCACCACTATTTAAATTTCTCTCGACAACACTGTCATCTAATTAAAGTAATAGATTTTGTTTGTTTGGGCATCTATGTGTAGGTGTGAATTTGTCATCACAAGTAAACACAAACCTTTAACTTTGCGAATTTGCATTTTTACTAATGTCATTTTCTTAATATTTGTAAGTTTTGAAAAGGTTTGAAAGGTTGGGAGGTTAAGAAATGAGGTAGGCTAATGGATTTAAGGGTTCGACTAATATGCATGTGGGTTTGTGTTTTGTTTGATAGTTTTGTTGTATGTACTGGGTTAATATTATTTAGGTTTGAAAAAATATTTACCTTAGAATTGGAGGCTAATACTCCAATGACTAAACTATTAAGATTTTCTCGATATTAACTTACAAATAAATTATATTTATATACAATTAAATACATATCCGTGTAAATATATAAATATAAAATATATAAATACAAATATATTTATATATTTTGATATATTTATATATTTACTCGATAAATATATCCGTCGGTAACTAATTGCTAATTTACCGAGGGATATATCCGTCGGTAATTAATAATTTTCTTGTAGTAAAATCTATATTGTACTCGATTTATAACAACTATGAATTATACATAATAATCATGTATAAATCTAACTTAAGTTAGCTTAAATAGATGAGAATGAGGATATAGATAAGACGATGATTCAAATTCAAAATTTAAAGTACAAGTCAATGCAACTTAAGAATGAAATAGATTACTATAGATCAAATCTCATACTAGGATATCACTTTTTTATCCAAATGGATAATAGTAATGATTAATAGTTGATCATCATCTATCTAATAATAATTAAAAAATTTGTATATATCTTAGAATATTCATTAAAAAATCTCTAAACCATCACAACAAGAAAAATCAAGTTTAAAATTACACACTTAAAATGATGAATGAGAGTTAAACTATTTTATTTGAACAGCAAATTTATCACAAATTCCCAAATTTTAAAATAAATCTCGCATCATCATATAAAAAATATTTATCCTTAAAAATGAGTTACAGAGGTATGTATTTTTGGTCATGCAGCAAAAGTATAGATTAATAAATAGAAAATTAACACCGTATTAAAAAAAAATACATTGTTGTATTTATTTAATTTCTCATATTGGAATAGTGTTATCCATGAGAACAAGAATACTGCAATAATAATAATAATAAAAAAATTAACGAACCGAAGCATAAAGAAAGGAAATCAACATCATATTGTATCCGTATCACCATAAAAAATTATATATTGAATTTTCCACCAGTAAAAATCCATCAGCATAGAATTAATATGCAATTTCTACCACTTATCTTCTTCTTTTTTTCCTATTAAGTGGATCGATCATCATGAGTTATTTGACCAATTAATTTATTTGCCGCTTCTATTATAGAATTTGTCACCCTTTCATTTCTTTATTTGTTACAACATGTTTCTTAACTTTTGCATAGTCATTCCTCGTGATCAAACTCACTTTCCCTTAACCTTCGCATATAACACCAACAATATTTTCCTTTTTTTTTTACTTCTCTTTATGTGAATTCAAGTTCAATCGATTTGTACGATAATAAATAAAGCTTAACTGTCAAGAATGAGTGCATCTACCCCCCTAAACAATTTGGAGAATCTCACATGCCAAGATTAAACTACTCTGGTAGTGGTGCTTGTGACCATCCATATACTTTGAAAAACCTGTTTAATTGTATAGTTTCGTACCACTCAATTATATTGTATGTTTAGATAAAAAGAGTTTTCTATATATTAAAATTAAATTATACATAAAAAATAAAAAATAACTTATGCATAAATCATTTTTTTAAAATCTTTACAGAGATTTTTGTCCAAATCGTAATAATATACAGCGTAAAAGAAGTTACGTGAAAATTTAGCCATCTCAAGCAAGACTTGTTATATTTTGTAGCAACTTGCATGCAGTCTCATGATATAATATAATGATTGGTCAGGGGAAAGAGTGAATTATGATTTATTTAATTATAGTATATAGTGTGGGTTGTCACCTCGAATTTAGATGAGTAAAAGATTCCTAAGTTTTTAAATCTTGTACAGTCGAACGGAGCTACAATTTGCAGATAAAAACAATGAAACCTGTGTTAGAAAAATATCAACTTGCAGTGTCTTTATTTACTACTGTTTAATTTATAACTATACATTTTTCATTTATTTTGTGCCAGCTGGAACTAATTTCCCTTAAAATGTTCCTGAATCTATTTAATAGCCGTTAGCTAGCCATAGTGAGAGAGAAAAAAAAAGAGAGTGTAATTTTAAATAAATTTTATAATTTTCATTTTAAGAAAATATTAATAATACGTTGTCTTAATCTCAAAATTTGGTTGTTTCAATTTATCTCAGAAGAAAATTACAAAAAATCATAACTACATTATCAGATCTCAATATTTTTTATTTTCATATATAAATTTGTTACATGATATATTCTCTTATAGTCCTTATTTTTTCGGTCTTCCGAATTACAAATACTAGTATAATTTTTGTAAATATATTAGAAAGAAATGTGAGTATATATATAAACTGAAATGAAAGAAAATTGTTTTCTCAAAAATACAAAACTTAGGTGTGGTATCTTAAATTTGTTTTTACTATACTGCTTAATCAAAATTAGAATTTCATTTCAGAACACAAACCTCCAATATAAATATTTTTTTCTATTACATCAAAGTTTAGATTAGCGAAGACACGTTGTATTGTAGAAAAACAAAGTAGTAATTTCAGTAATAATTTTGTAAATTTTATTACTTAATAGTATAAACTAAAATTGTTGACTAGAAAAAATATATAGCGATAAAAACACTATAAAACTTGTTTAAAAACTAAAAGAAAAAAAAGTTTAGAGGAGAAGAAAAACCTTAAATTTCCATATTACTTATTATTAAAGAAAACTTGAAAGTCAAACTTAGTGACAATTATTGTGAGTAAAAGACTTGATGATTAGATATATTAACATCGACATATCATTTAAATTTAAATATAGGAACACCAAACATCTATTTATCAAAAGTAAAAATTTAAATATAAGTTGAAATTTCAGCAATGAGAAAATTGAAAAATTTATAATGTCTTGATTTTTATTGATGAGTAATGTTATAATTTTTTTTTATAGTTGACGTGTATATTATTTATGAGAATATTTGAATTATTAGCTCCACAAAAAGATTTAATGTGATATTAGAGTGGAATGTAAATCATATAAATTAAAATAAACAATGAGACGATAAATTATAAATATATGTTGAAAGTCTTTCCGACACACCGTCAAAATAGAAAACCAGACACTTAATAATCCACGTTTAACTCTTGTTTGCTTATCCTCTTTCACAACCCATACGAGAATATGAATTGAGAACAAAACCTTAAAAATCGAGACACTAGCTAGAACAGCACATGCTAAGGACATACGTCACCCTCTATTGCTTATCGTTTCGGCTACTATTATATTATTATGAACATTATGGATGCATATATTTATACATTGAACAATGTGATTAATGTCTATATATAGATAGATATAGATTAGGAGAAAAGCTGCATTACGCATATCAGTGGACATAAGCAGATATGGAGGAGGAGATAGAGAAGAAGAGCGTGGACATGGACAGTGGCGAGGTTACTGAGAAGAAGAGGAAACCGCAGCAACGTCGTCGTGGTGGCATCAGAACGTTACCTTTCATCCTAGGTTAGCCAACACTTTTTTATTATTATTTTTTCTGTTTAGATAATGCTCCCATTAATTTGTGTTTACAAAACAATCTTTCTTTTAATTTCTCAACATACTGAGGTGCTGAATTTCACTTACCAAAGAAATTTGATGCATTTTAGGTTGTAGTTTTCTCTCCTTTTTGTAGGAATTGAAAATTTCGCAGCTAGGTTACACTTTTGCTTAGTCATTTCATGCTCAATATCTAATTATTTCTAATATTTTTTTTCCTGTTTTGTCACTGGCGGATCTTCTTGGGAGTTGAAGGGGTCATGACTCTCCAAAGTTTTATAACTCCCATGTAATTTATGATTTTAGCTTCTAAACTTAATAAACATTTAATATATTTACTTGTATATTTACAATTCTATCATCTCAACCCCTCCTCAATTTTGTAATCGACTTTGTCCCTCAAACTTAATGATCATTTAATATATTTAAATATATATCTACAATTTTATCATTTTATCCTTTCATCTTCTTTCTTCCTTTTATATTTATTTATTATTTATTAATAATATATTATTTTATATTTATTATTTATTAATAATATATTATTTAACTTTCAAGATCAATGGTCAAGATACTGCCATTGTTGATGGTGTCTTCACCCATTCTGGATTCAGATTCTAGCTGAGCAAAACTCAAAATTTAAATGTATGAAGGACTTTGATTTTTAGTTAATGGAAAATGCAAGAATTTTAAAATAACATCAACCAGCCATCTCTTTACTAATTGAATTTCGCGTAATTTTATGAGAATTGACCAAATGTTGAAGTTCTTTTTTCATTCTAACACTGAAAAAGTTATTATTTACTAATGGGGTTCAACATATAACCAATTTTTTTTCTAAAAATAAACATTGCTATGCATTCACAAATATACGATTATTTCATACCATTTTTTCTAATGACGAGAATTAAGCATTTAGAAGAAGATATAACAATCTTTGAATTTTTACAGCTCTTCATTTTTTTTTTTTAAATGTAGAGTATTATTGTTGACTCAGTTGACTATATCCTATTAAAATTTCTAATAGATATTATCCCCGTTTGTTTATTGTAATAATTAATTAGTGTGAAAATCTGTATGATTTTCAATTATTTACGTTTTTTATACCCATTTTAGTGGGTCTTAGCCGTCTTTTAAAATATAAAAATAATAGTAGTTGATTAGAAACTGTTTTTTAATTCTGATAATCTCATATATATTTTGTATTGTCTAATTTTTGCTAATAATAATTAGGTTAACTTTTCGTATAAGATACATCTATAAGTATAATAAATTATAAAAATAATTAAAATTTTAATTATGTATTATTTTTAATCGATAATATATTACAATAATTTTCATTTCTTAATTGTAATTTTTATTTTAAAAAGTTATAGTATATTATTATTAAAATATAATTATATATAAATTAAATTACATTTCAAAAATAATAAGTAAAAATCTATTTAAAATGAATGACTTAAAATAAAAGACGAATTCAAAAAATGATAGCTAGTTTCATAGATTATTTTATTTATTTATTAGTTTATATTTAAAAATATACTCTTTCCAAAGAACATTTACCAACATTCATGAAATGTATTATTGTATACTTTATTAATTAATTATTAATTGATAGGAAAGGAAACCCTTCATGAGCAGTAATTTAACTATTTTAAGTCATGTTGTCACCTAATTTAATCTTAGAGTGATGACTCGGTCTTTTCGTCTTGTACATCAATATTTTGAAGTATAATTATTTTATAATATTTTATCTTGTTTGGTGAGATGCTTAATGTTATGAATGGTTTAAATTTTTTATAATTATTAAATAATTTATAAAAATAAATAAGATAAAGTAAATAATTAAAGAAAATAAAGAAGAGAACGAATGTTTTAAAATATATTAAAAAAATTATATTGAAACAAACTTATCATTAATATAAGTTGATTAAGAATGATGGATATAATAAATTCATATTTTATATTTTCTAAATAAGAAATATCTGATATGAATTATGGCTTATAATATTTATTTTGGTTAAAATTTCACTTTTACCATTTCCAGTTAAAATTATGATAGCCTGTAAAAATACATTTGACTAACTCTCACTTCAGTTTTCGAGCGTATCTACCCAATACATTATGCTTCACTTACACTTGATAATTAATTATGTCAAAGAGGTGCTGCTTGAATTACAGTTTCCTAAATAGATGTTTATTAGTTTCACGTTATTCATGGATGTTGAGGTAATTTTTTACTAGTTGGATGTGTGTGTATGCAGCAAATGAATTCTGTGATAGATTTGCAGTAGCTGGTTTCAATGCTAACTTGATAAGTTACCTGACCCAAGTGCTGAACATGCCACTGGTATCTGCCTCCAACATTATCACAATCTATGCTGGAACAGCTAGCTTCATCCCTCTTCTTGGTGCTATCATTGCTGAGTCCTTTGCTGGCCGCTTTTGGACCATTACTGTTGCTTCTCTTATCTATCAACTGGTTTCTCCCCTTCTCCTTTTCTCCATACACTCTTATATTTTCACTCAGTCATTCGCTACTCAATCTGTGATCACACTTCTGAACCTTCCAAGTACACTGAATATATATATTTCAATTACAACAGTGACTAATTAAGAATATATAATTATACTCAACTTACAAAATGTGTATATACTAGTTTTCCCTATTTCATTCTTGTTGGAGAATATACAAGTCCCACATTTGACTAAATGAAGAAGAAAAAGTGTATAAACTTTGACAGTTTAAAGCTGGCATGCATTTTAAACCAAATGACACTTTCCAACTTAAATACTAACTAGTCTATCGAAACTCTTCTATTGGGTCTGCATTCCACAGTTGAACAATTCTCCACATGTGCCTTGAAGCTACTAAAAGCTTTTGATTTCCCCTACAAAAAGTTAGTCCATGGTTTTCTAGTACAATCATTCGTGGAAATAATCAAAATAAACTAATTCCAAAGAATTTTTGGCATTCCATTATTCTCCGTGTGGACATTGAGAATGATGTTATTGCTAACAATGCATCATCATTCACAAATTTTGGAAGGAATGGAATTTTATGGTAGTCCAGTCTTCATGTTCCAATCACCATGTTTTTCTGTTGGAGTCTTCAACCACCATACAAGATTGAGCACTCTCAATCTTTAATAGAAATAACTTTTTGGTCACATTTGAATGATGCCAATAACTCCACCAGGGGATCATAGATCTCACAAGCACCTTTCTCTTTTAGTTATTTCATAATATTTTCCCAACAACTGACCGCCACTAACAACTTACCCTTCAACTTAGTAACATATTAACTTAACCCTTCCACATTTCATCATCAGTAGAGCAACCTCCACAATTCATAGTATAGTACAATGAAATTCTTTAGCTGAATAAGAAAAAGGAAGCATAGTTGCACACATATGATTGCTGCTACAACATCTATCCTCTCCATATCAGTTTCTACTTATTGCTTTTGTCTGCAATTTTTTATGTTCCCCTTTTCTTTGTTATTAGACAATTTAGTACTGTAGCAGACTAATGCTTAGTGTTTTGGCATTCTCTTGCTTGATACAGGGATTGGTCAGTTTAACTGTATCAGCTATTCTGCCCCATTTTCGCCCCCCACCATGTCCAACACAAGTGAATTGCCAAGAAGTCACACCCTCACAACTGACCATACTCTACGTCTCTCTCCTCCTCACATCTCTTGGATCAGGTGGCATTAGGCCTTGTGTTCTGCCCTTTTTAGGGGACCAATTTGACATGACCAAAAATGGTGTCGCGTCTAGGAAATGGAACCTCTTCAATTGGTACTTTTTCAGCATGGGATTGGCTTCATTAAGTGCCTTGACCATTGTGGTTTACATTCAAGACAACACGGGTTGGGGTTGGGGCTTCGGCATACCAACTATTGTCATGCTGGTATCCATCATTGTCTTTGTGTTGGGCTCACCACTCTACAAGACTGAGAAACCAGGAGGGAGCCCTTTGGTTCGTTTGGTCCAAGTGATTGTGGCAGCTATAAAGAAGAGGAAGGAGACTTTGCCAAATGATCCCAAGTTTTTGTACCAAAATAGGGACCTCGATGCTGCTATTTGTTTGGAAGGAAGACTTTTACACACAAATCAATTTAAGTAAGTCAAATATTTGGTTCTCAGGTCGTATTTTCTAAATAGTGAAATCACATGAATGTCAACCAACAAAAGAAGAAAGAATCTATTTCTAACATTCCATACGTATGAATATGCACTTAACGAGCTAATCAAGGATTTTTCATTTTGATTCCATGAATTGCTAAATAACATCAACTAAGGGTGCTTCACTGACCCAATTTTGTTACAACTTCATAATACAATAGTCAATGGATTTGCACACTAAAACATTACTTCACTATATCCACAGATGGTTAGACAAGGCTGCAATTATCACAGAGGAAGAAGGCAGAGACCCAATTGCATCACCAAACTTATGGAAATTGGCCACTGTTCATAGAGTTGAGGAGCTAAAATCTATCATTAGAATCCTCCCAATTTCTTCCTCAGGAATTTTGCTCATAACTGCTGCATCACATCTGCACAGCTTTGTAATTCAACAAGCTCGCACAATGGACCGACACCTCTCTCAATCATTCCGAATTTCCCCAGCCAGCATGTCCGTTTTCAGTGTACTATCCTTGATGTCAGGGGTTGTTCTATATGAACGCCTCTTCGTTCCATTTATCCGCAGATTCACAAAGAACCCTTCAGGAATCACGTGCATACAAAGAATGGGAATAGGCTTTGTGATTAACACTATAGCCACATTAGTTTCAGCACCTGTTGAAGTAAAAAGAAAAGCAGTTGCTGCCAAGTACCACTTATTGGATAGTCCCAATGCCACTATTCCTATTAGTGTGTTCTGGTTGGTGCCTCAGTATTGTTTGCATGGTTTGGCAGATGCTTTCATGTCTGTGGGGCTTTTTGAGTTTCTCTATGATCAGTCACCTGAAAGCATGAGAAGCAGTGCCACTGCTTTGTACTGTATAGTAGTAGCCCTTGGGAGCTATGCTGGTACACTGGTTGTATCACTTGTGCATAAGTATAGTGGCAAGGAGGGGAATTGGTTGCCTGATAGGAACCTCAATAGGGGTAGATTGGACTACTATTACTTGCTTGTTAGTGGGATTCAGTTATTGAATATCATTTATTTTGGAATTTGTGTTTGGTTTTACACTTACAAGCCCTTGGAAGAGCTCACTGAAGTGAGCATGGACAAGGATTTGGAATTGGAACAGGCCAATAATGCAAAGATCTCATCTGCCAATTCCGAAGATGGTGAAAATGTAGAATACAGAACATTCAGAAATGAGTAGTTAATGTATTTATGTTCTTGTACACAATGTCGAGTTTGCTATTTTCGACTCTATGGTTCAACCCCGAACCTCATCCAGTGTGCCATGTTCATGTGGTAGTTTAGAGGTAATGTTGATATAAATTCAAGGAAATAAAATAATTTTGGGACTAAATTGCTCAGTATTTTAATTATTCTTGTATTTTTTTTCTCTCTGTTTCATTTTTTTCTTCTTATTATCTTTATTATATTTAGATATATTATTATAAAGATTTATAAATAATTAAAAATATAAATACCTACATTTTGTATCTTAATGTGATGTTCTTAAAACTTTTTTTTTATTTAGTATATTTTATTTTGTATATACACTTCCCACCAATATTTTTTTTTTCATATGACTTTTCATTTAGCTTCTATGTTTTAATCTTTTTAATTATATCAACTTTTTATTGCATCTTCAAGTTTATTATTTAATCATCTTCAAAATTTTCTGGTTTTATAATATATTAATTATACTTTACATAAATATCACTCAAACTCTATTAATTTTTTTAGGAGTTGAGATTGGAGATGATGAACTTGAAATACTTTATTGAGATTAGAAATTTGATTTATTTTGGAGTAATTCCTCATTTTCATCTACAGGACTTCTTGCAAAAAAAGGACTTCTTGCAAATTTTTTGTTGAATTTGTTTTGTCTTCCACGTTTTCTTCTTGTCAATTTTAAAAAAATTTCTCATTAAATTTGACATCTCGACTAATAATTATCTTCTTACTCTTCAAATTATAGAGTCTATAGCCCTTTTACATGGAACTACAACCAATAAAAATGCATTTCATCCTTAATTCTTCAAAATTTGTTCTATTTTATCCAGGAACTAGAGCATAGTAAACACATCCAAAAATTTTAAAATGATGTACGGAAGACTTACTTCCACTTTATGTTTTAAATGATGTCATATTCCAAACAAATTTTATAGGACATTTATCGGTTGGGTAGAGTGTTGTATTAATAGTCTATGCCCAAAATTCTTTGAATTTTTTTATTCAAATAACATAGATTTTACCATTTTTATCATAATTTGATTCTTCCCCTCGAATATATCATTTTGTTGAGATGTATGACCAATTGTCAATTTCAAACCCATTACTTCATCTTCACAAAATCTATTAAATACTCCTTTTCTTGTATCAATTCTCAAGGTTTTTATGAACTTGGCATTTTGTTTCTCAACAAGTGCTTTAAACTTCTAAAATAAATCAAATACTTCATATTTTTTTTCTCATGAAATAAACCCATGTCATACGAGTGAAAAAATCATTAATAAATAAGATAAATTAATATTTTGACCAAGAGAAAATGTACTCATTGATGAAGAAACTATTAGGAAGAATCTTGGAAGCCTTGACTAAAAGATTTGATGAAGTCAAAAGAAGATGTTGTGTTAAGTCCATCGAGTGTGTCTCAGTTACATTATGTAGGTATAAACATCTATCCTCTTTTCAAGCATGAGTTTTTTCTCTTACAAAATATAAAGTGTCTCATGTATTTGTTAATATGTTAACAATCATTTTAATCAATTAATATGTTCTTCAGTAGTAATTGATATATTTTCTAAATAATCGATTAAATTCAGTTAAGTAGCTTGAGAACACTTTCTGTCACAATTTTAATTGATACATGTTCGAAATAATCGATTAAAATCACTTAAATAACTTGAGAACACTTTCTGTCATAGTTTTAATTGATACATTTTCGAAATGATCGATTAAATTCACTTAAGAAGCTTTATAACACTTTTTGTCATAATTTTAATTGACATATCTTCAAAATAATTGATTAAAAACACTTAAACATTTTTGTATTGCAATTTTAATCGATTAAACCTCGCTTTTATCAATTAAAATGCCTCTACAAAATATTCAAAATTATTTTAATCGATTAAAACTTGTTTTCATTAGTTAAAACATCTCTGAAAAATATCCAAAATTGTTTTAATCAATTAAACCTTATTTTCATCAGTTAAAATGCCTCTGGAAAATATCCATAATTGTTTTAATCGATTAAACTATGTTTTTATCAACTAAAATGTCTTGGGAAAAATTGGCAGAACCTTTTTAATCTATTAAAAAACATTTTTATCAGTTAAATTCATTTAAGCTAAGTTGTTTTAATCAATTGAAGTGTGAATTAATCGATTAATCATGTCGATCAATTAGAAAAATATCTATATAAACATATTTCCACCTACGTTTTAAAACATATCTTTGAAAAATCATTCAAGCAATCTTTAGAGATCTTTTCCAAGAAAGAAATGCGCTTTACTGATTAGAATTCTTTTGAAATATTTCTTGAGACTCTTTGTTCTTGTCTTTTAGGAAACTCATTCTATGATTGGATCTTTGCATCTGCGTATTAATTTGATTGTTGGAGTTTCATCAAGCATCTTGTTTCTTCATTCGTTTATTTGTATTTACAGTGTTTGGAATTGTGGGTACTGGATTAGGCAACTGGAGTTATGGTTGTTATCATAGGTTCAAGAACTATGTTATAGTTCTTCATGTAGATTGATTTTCTGCAATCTGTTTTTGTAATCAATTGGTATTCGATTAGTGGAACTCAACTGAAATTTGGTTGAGAATTGGACGTAACCCAGTAGATTAGGTTAACCAATATAAACTTGATATTCTTGTTTTATCTCTTTCTTTCATTTAAGATTGCTATTATTTGGTTCAAGTATTGATTGGTTTCTTAAATATTTGAAATTTATAATCTGTAATCAAAAGTTGCAAAAAGTTTTTTATTAGATCAATCCACCCCCCACTTGATTTCAGCCTGTATTTTTAACAATTGGCACCAGAGTTGGGTTTTAAAAAGTATCCAAGCCTTCGATCCTAAAGTTTTTTCTTAATGGCTGAAAATAAACTACCTTTCTACATATTATCAATTTTGGAAGATTAGAATGAAAATTTTTATTCAATCAAGTGATAGGAACATATGGAATGTTATTAAATTAGGTTCATTATTTACTAATAGAGAATGGTATGCATTAAATGATGATGAAAATAAGAAAATTCAGCATGACTGTACTGCAAAAAATATCATTACATCTGCTCTTAATATGGATGAATTTTTCAGGGTCTCTCAGTGCAAATCTGCCAAAGAAATGTAGGAAGTTCTTGAAGTAACTCATGAAGGCATAATTGATGTCAAAGGGCCAGAAAATACACCCTAATAAGAGAATATGAGTTGTTCAAAATGTAGTAAAGAGAAAGCATTGCTGATGTCCAGAAAAGATTCACACATATCATCAATCATTTGATGGGTCTTGGTAAGGTGTTTGATAAAGAAGAACTAAATATTAAATTATTGAAATGTCTTGGCAGGTCTTGGCAACCCAAGGTCACGACAATCTCATAATCCAAAGATTTATCTACCATGACCACGACTTATTTGTTTGGAAAACTCAGGGAACATGAAATGGAAATCAACATGTTCAATGAGCAAGAAATCTCAAAGAAGAAAGTGAAAAGCATAACTCTTAAAGCAAGTGATAAAGATGGTGAATCTGAATAAGAAAATGAAAAAAAACTTGGTTTGCTTGTCAAGAAGTTTAGCATATTCCTCAAGAAAAGAAATAAAGATAAATTTGTGCAGAAAAGGTCTCCAAAGAAACAAAAATCAAATTCATTTAATTACAAGTGTTATGGTTGTGGTAAGGAGCATGTAAGAATGGAATGTCCATAAAAGATTAGGAATCAAGACAAGAAAAGTGACAAGAGTAAAAAGAGAGCTTACATTGCTTGGGATGATAATGATACATCATCAACAGAAAACTCAGAAGAAGAAGAAGAAGCAAATTTGTGCTTGATGGCTAGTCAAGAATCCCCCACCAGTAGTGTAAGTACTACCTCTTTTAATAATTCTATGAATTACAGTTCTCTGTTAAAGCTTTTAATGAAATGCATGAAGAAGCAAAGAGACTTGCTAAGGAAAATAATAGATTGAAAGAAATGAATAATTGGTTAGAAGATAGAGTAAACACTCTTGAAAATGAACTTCTTGAAGTTAAAACCAATTCTGAAAATCTTAAGATGATTCACAATGATTTTGACTACATGTGTAAAAAAACTTATTTAGAAAAATCTTGTGAAAATTGTCCTGAGTTACAAAAGAAAATTGCACACTTGATTAAAACTGTTTCAAAGTTTGCACAAGGTAGAACTAATCTTGATGTCGTGTTTGGGTCACAAAAATTAGTCATTGATCGTGCTGACATTGGTTTCACACCTATTGTTGGTGAGAAAACAAAGACATTCAAAAATTATTTTTCATACACAAAACCGATTTATACACCTTTCATCACATGTTTTTACTACATGAAAAAAGGTCATTCAGTTAAATTCTGTAATATTAAGAGATATGCAATTCTTAGAGGTAAAATGAAATGGGTTCTCAAACGATTTTTGCAATTAACTTAGACAGGACCCTATTATTTTCGGAGGGTACCAAAATAGTTTTTAATTACTTTTCAAGAACAACAAACTAAGAATCTATGGCACCTGGACTGTGGTTGTTCAAGACATATGACTGGAGATATTTCCAAGTTTCACAATTTGAAACTCAAAACTACTGAAACTGTTGTGTATGGTGACAATAACAAAGACAAAATTCTTGGAGTAGGTGATGTTAAATGTGTAGAACATGGAATCATTAATAATATATTGTATGTTGATGGGATAAAGCATAATTTGACCAACATTAATCAGCTCTGTAATAAGGGTCACAAGGTCATATTTGAACCTGAACACTGTCTAATACTTAGATAATCTATTGATCACTAGTAAGAGATTAAGCAACATATATATGTTAGATACAAATTCTGCAGAAAATTGTTGTTTAATTGCCAAAGAAAATCATACTTGGTTGTGACATAAAAGACTAGCTCACATTCATATGTATTATCTTAACAGATTAATTTCTAAAGAGCTTGTAACAGGTTTACGTAGACTGAAATTTGTGAAGGACAAAGTGTGTGATGCATGCCAAAAGGGCAAGCAAACAAAAAGCTTTTTCCCATAGAAAAATATTGTCTCTACTTCTAGACCGTTTGAACTTTTGCCCATGGATCTCTTTGGACCTTCAAGAACTATAAGTTTGGGTAGAAATCTATATGCATTGGTTGTTGTAGATGACTTTTCAAAATTTACCTGGACACTATTTTTAAAAGTGAAATATGATACTCTTCAAGCTTTTAAGAAACTTGCTAAACAAATTCAAAATGAAAAAGGGTATTTCATCTTATATTCAAAGTGATCATGGGGGAGAGTTTTCAAATGAAAGTTTTGATATATTTTATGAAAAACATGACATTAAACATAATTTCTATGCACCTAGAACTCTCTAGCAGAATGGTGTTGTGGAAAGGAAAAATTGATCTCTTGAGGAGCTTGTTAGGACTATGTTAAATGAGAAAGCATTGCCAAAATATTTTTGGACTGATGTTGTAAGCACAACATGTCATGGATTAAATCAAATTTTGATAAGACATTTTCTCAAAAAGACTCCCTATGAACTATATAGAGGTAAAAAGTCAAACATAAATTACTTTAGAGTGTTTGGATGCAAATATTTTGTCTTAAATAATGGTAAAGAAAATCTTGAAAAATTTGACTCTAAATTGGATGAAGGGATTTTCTTGGGTTATTCTACAAATAGCCATGCATATAGGATCTATAATAAAAAGCTTAACATTCTTTTAAGTCCTAGAACATATTTGGCATCCTTCAAAGTCCATACTATACCCATAGATGTTTTAAGATTTATATCTCTCATGTTTGTGATGTTTAAAGTTTCATCATCTGCTAGACACACTTTGCTAAAATTTCCAGTTCTAAAATTTTTCAGCAAATCCTTATAAGGAGAAGCATGAAAAGATGCACCAGAATCCATGATCCAAGATTTAAACTTGCTCTCAACAGAATAGATCAACACATCATCTCTGTTTGCATTCATTGTATTGTCATACCTCTTTTCTTTAAAAGTAGTACATTGGTTCCTAAAGTGTCCATTTTGTTGATAATTACAATAAGTAATATCTTTGTGAGATTTGGATTGTGTTTGCTACTTGAACTTTGATCTACCACGTTCAGAGTCTTGTCCTCTTTCAAGTTTTCTACCTCTACCTTCAATTCTTAATAAGAAATATATTGATTCTTCAGCATTCCTTCTACGAACATCCTTATTAAGGATTAAATCTTTAATTTCTTGAAAGGTTAATTTCATAATCCTAGATGTACTGGCTAGTACCATGACAATTTCTGACCAATTATTAGGCAATGTAGATAACAATAACAGGGTTTGTACTTCATAATCAAATTTAACATCCATTGACATTAATCTTGACAATAAGGAATTAAATTCATTCACATGATTTGTAAAACTAGCACATTTTCGTATCTTCGTATTAACTAATTGACGAATTAAAAATACTTTGTTTGATGTTGATGGCTTCTCGTACATGTTTAATAATACCTTATCAAATCATATGTCGTCTTCTCGTTGATGATATGGTAGGTAACATTCTTCATCAATGTTAATCTGACAACTCCCAAAATCTGTCAATCTAGCAACTCCTAATTTACTTGAGACATCGTTTCTGGTTTATTCTTAGACAAAGGTCGGTACAACTTTTTCTGATAAAGATAATCTTCAATTTGCATCTTTTAAAATCTAAATTGTCAATCTTCACTTTCTCGTATTTTGTCATTGCTCCCCGATGAAAGAAACCTAAGCTATTGATACCAGTTGTTGGGAACCCAAATGAAATACAAGACAAAAGTAAATAACAAGAATATAAGGAATTTACATGGTTCAGTCAAAGTGGCCTAGTCAACGGTTGCACTAGATGATAATTTTCATTCACATAATTAGATTTATAGTTACATGAATATTTATAATAAAATAATAAACAAATGGATCATGCCCAATAATCCTTCAAACTCTACGTACTTAACAAATTTTGTTATGAATAACATAACTTTTGCTTAAAAGATATAATTTTTACTCAAATGAACCAATATCAAATAATATTTTGCTTAAGTGATAAATTTTTTTCTTTAACAAATTATTACCATTTAGTCTATCTTTTTCATAATTTCACTTGAGTCACCAACACTTCACTTAAGTCACAACCGATAGAACAATAAGATTTTTCTAATTTCATAATATATTTTTTAAGCATAAATCCACAATTTTTATCACAACAATGCATTACAACAACAAATAAACACAAATAAACACATAAGTTTCTTCTAACAAATTGTGTTTGAAAAGTCTTGTTCTAATATCCCATGTGTTGAATGATTGGCAAGTGTACCAAAATTATCAATCGCAGTATAGTATTTTGATTAAATAAAAGTCGATCATACGAGGAACGGTTTCAATGGAAATTACTAATTATATGCTTACTAAGTGGATTAAAACAAAATGAGTTTTGCACAAAGAGTTGAATTGAAATTAAATGTCAAAGAACTATAAAATGTTTAGAAAAGATCAATTAAAGGCACTTAGGATTAACTTCCTTCCTTTTCCCTCTTTTGCAATGGTTATGTCCAATTAAGAACATCAATTAACCTAACAATGTTGATGTCACCTACTCAAATCATCCATGTTGATTCCTCACACATGAATTCATAAGAAAACCTAATAAATGTTGATTTCGCACACAATTAAGAGATTTTTCAGCATTAGGTTTAGGGTGTTAAGCAATTGATACATCTCATTTCTGACAATTAACATAACAAATATTCTTATCATGATCTAGGATTCAAGATATATTTTTCAATCATATCCCAAACATCAAAAATAAATTATTCCAAGGCACAAAAGATAAAAATAACAACATCAAAACATACATTAATATCTCAAAATATCACCATGACACAAAAGAGTTCAAAGAAAGTGTACCTAATCTCAAGAGAATGAAGTTAGTCATTCATGGTGACCATTACAATGCTCCAAATGAGGAAGAAGTGAAGAATTGATGAAGATTGGACGAAACCCTAACAGTAGTCGCGTCTCTTCTCCCAAAACCTCCAATTACATCTCAAAACACGTCTTATCCTTTTATAGGAAAATTTGGGTCGGACATCGCATCATTCATTCGCTCAAACATTCTTCTTTCTTTCAATTTTTCTTCAATTACTTCACAGTTATAATCTTTACTCTTGTATTCAGGTATTATGCAAATTCATCCTATATAGGGAGAAAAATAGATTAGAAGTGGTTTTATCACAATTAAAAGCATAATTACATCAACTTTTACCATTTAACACCATGTAACCAAAATAATATATTAGATAATATATTAGAGATTACTATTTAGCTTTTTCCTTTTAAATTTAAAAATAAATAAAATTATATAATCAAAAGAATTAACTTACGTATTATCCTTTTCATCTTTATAATATTTTTGAATTTAAAATCCAATAATATTTTACTATTTTAATATTAAAAAAATCTAAAGAATTTAATTTTAGTAAAATAATTATTTATAAAAACTATTCACCTTAATAATTTATTTATAAAGTTTATATATATATATATATATATATGAAAATTCATATAATTACATAAAATATAATATAATAATAAATTATTGTAATTTTTAAAATTTAATTATTGTGATTTAAATTTTTTAATAATTAAAAACTTAATTTAATATTATTTTAAAGTTAATTTTGTATAATTATATTATTAAATATTAATAGAAGTGGTACGTAATATTATTTTAATGTTTTAAAAGAACTAAAAAATTGTCACATCACACATTACTCATCAACGCACTAACACAATCAATCATCCATCCACCTCTTAACATCATCCTAAGCTATAATATTCCATTCACACGTGGCAGATTTTCATATGTAATGCTCGCAAAAGTCAAGAGTGGTTGAATACATACTCGATGCAGTCACACAACATCCTCTGCTTCACTTTATGGTCCCTGGTTCTTATTATTGTCAGTCTCTCCCACCACCAATATTTTGTGGTTGGTAAGAAGGCAATGGACACTCCTAGAAGAACACCTTTTTTCAACACTTTATTATATTCATTATTAAATAAACATTTGAAATAAAAATAAGTATTGGGATTGAAACATAATATTCTACTTTTAGCACAATGATTTCAAAAAAAAGTAATTATTTTTAAATTAATTATCATAAAAATCACTTTTTAAGCTCATTCTTTTTTTTTTTTTTTGTAGTGCTACCCTAAAACATCATTTTCCTCACATGGATCAAGTTTGAGTTACAAGGGATGTCTATCTTGATGAAACAAGGGAGTGGTCCAATAATAGTTGGAATTGGTTATGATGGTGGAAAGGTTTCTTTATATGAGAAGAGGGGTTATAAGCATATTTGGTAAATTGCTTAGATTTGTTTCATGATTTGTCAAACTAATTGGTATGGAAGGAGGATTCTTGCAACCACTCATTCTTTTCATTATGTTTTTTTAAAAAAATAAAAATTGGAGTTTTCATCATCTTGTTCCCTTAGTGGGTATTTTGAATAAATTGCAAAATCAGAGTTATTTTGTGTGAAAATATTTTGTGTATTATCATTTTTCTCTCAAAATATGTACTTAACTTATTTGTCTTTTTGAAATGGAATGATTTGTTTTCTTATTACCTAATTATGTTTTTATATATTTTATCTCTCTTAAAAAAATTATGTGTAATTTTTTAAATATTATGATTTAATTTATTTGTATTTTGTTATATTCATAATTTTTAAGTCACAAAATGATAATTTATAAATATATTTCTTTAATGCATCAAAACATTTTTAAAAATAAAATCATAATACAAGTTTTAAGTTTCAAAGTGAATATAATATGTCAATTCATAACCCTTTGGTTGGATGTTTCTTTTAATCCATTTAAAAGTCTTGCATTGTTTATAGTAAAAATTAAGGATAAATTTATTGGATATTTTAAAGACAGAATTGTGACATTAAAGTAATTACTATTGATCCATTTAAAATAATTAAGACTTCCGTGTTTAGAAATTAAATGTAATAGTTAAGAGGTTTACTCTTCTAAAATTATTAAATTAGTAATTATATTTTTATTTTAATTAATTAGTGGAAAGAATGTTGTCGTGACTAAAATGGGTGTAGAAAATATGAGGTGTTCTTCTATTTAAATTAATATTTTAGTTATATTACGTATAAGAGATAAAATAAAAAAGTGAAAATAATATTATATTAAAATAATATAGAAATTATTATTTTAATTTTATCAATATATTTAAAATAGAGAGAATTTAATTAATTTTTTAGTGATTAATAAAAATAAATATGACTTTGTCATCATTAATAGAATAATACATTATATTTATTTACTTAAAACTTTGGATCAAATCTCAGACTATAATGCCATTAAATTTATATTTATAAAAAATTATTATTTTTTAAGAAAAATTAAATTATTTTTATCATATTTACTTTTCAATAAAAAATTAATAAATATTAAAATAAAAAAATATAGGTATATAAATAATTAAAATAAATTCAATGATAGATTTTTCCTTCTTTTACTTTAATAATTATAAAAGGCATACAAAAATTAAAACCAATGTTTATATATTTTTCTTTTTCTCTCTTTTCTCTCTACTTTAAAAAAATGTCACCACATCACTTATATATTGTAAATATTTATTTTTATTGTTTAACTTACACGAAATACTTGTAATAATTATAAGTTTTAGATTTTTGTAAAATATGATTATCTCACCAACCTTAGTTTTGAATATTCTTTTAAAATATTTTTTCAAATAAATTGATTAAAATAAACTATTTAAATTACTTAAAATTTTAATTTGACATATTATATAAAAAATTATTACCTGATAAATTGAAAGATGATGTTATAATATTATTATGAATCTCGTATTGCACCACGAAACCTATCCTTATTCATGAAATATATGAATATATGGAGGACATCTCAGTTTATGCTGGCCTTTTTTGTCTTTGGTGGCCTTGATATGATAAACATGGTTTGTTTGATTGTTAATTTCTACTGAGAAAGAATAAATAAGAAGAAAGTATGAAGGGAAAGAATCTAAGGTCCATGTGTGGGTGGTGGAGAAGTGGGGACTACCATCTCTAGCTACCACCTGATTGATGTTCACGGACTTCACTCTGCAGAAACCACCACAGAGTGGCCTCCTCATTCTGTCCTTATTTCACCAACAATATCCACCGCAGTATTCCAGATATTGACGTTCATATCATTCCAATTCACTTTACGTAAGCTAGGACGTCATCACAATTTTATGTATGTATATATAATTAACAGATTTAAATGTTTTTTTATTTCTTAAATTTAAATATTTTATTTGTTCTCAAACTAAAAATCCTTTTTTATTTAGAAAAAAATCATAAAATGTTGTCTGTAGTCTATTCCTTAATACTATTACATTACACTGTTTATTAAGGAAATATATAAATAGACATCCCACAAAGTTAGTCATCCATTTAACACTTTTATTATAACTAATAAAAAAGAAAAATAATAAATGAAGGCATAACTGTAATGGTTTATTTGGATCAGGCGTGAAAAAAAACGAAGAAAGAGAGAAAGGGTTGATGTGCAGAAAAAGTCTGAAAATCGAGGCTTTAAAGTGTAATTTTTTTTTCCTTTATGATATAGAAGTATAAAGTATTGATTATATCTCTTTTCATAATCAATTATGTTTTAATTTTTGTAAATAATTTTTTATTTTTAATTATTATAATAATAAACAATTAAATAAAATTATTAAAATAATAAATAAAATTATTTAAAATTGATAAAATAATATTTTAATTAATTAAATTAATTTTATCTTTTATCAAAAAAATTTCATTTTTCATTTTATTTTTTTAATACAAATAACTTCAGTTTTCATCTTCTTTCTCTCGTTTCCACTTCTTTAAATTCACTATTCAATCCAAAAGTTAATTGTTGTTAGGGTGTTTGGTAAAAAGGGATGGTACGTGAATCACCGGTCTTTTATCAATGTTGTTTTGTACTGTGGACCTTCTTTAAATATCTTTGAAACTACTAAAATTGTTAAAGTTGTGTATTTTTTTGAAATGAAAAATATATAAATTATAATAAAATAAAATGATTAATTTTTGTATTTAAATATATCTATAAAAGGTCATTCATATTAATATAATATTTGAAATATTTGATGATAAAGAATCGGTTGTGTTGAAATTTGAAAAGTAATTAAATGACTTTAGATTGACGAAGATATTTTAATTATTTAAAATAAAAAAAAATTAAGTTTTACGGAAAAAATTTCAATTGTTTTTTTTTTAATATTTTATTCTTTGACTTAATTTCGAATAAGATATTTTCAATTAATCTTAATTTATTTTAATATGGGTTAACCCCGCTTGATCTGGATAAGTATGATTTAATCTATTTTGATTAACCTAATTTGAACCAATTTTACACATTTTTTACTATGTTCAAATCATCTTGATCCAATCATTCTCGATTTGATCCATCGTGTATTAGTTTGACCTAACGCTCGACTTAGTTTAATCCATTTCGACTTAACATATCCTAACTCAGTTCAACTCTTTTTCAAGTGCAATCAAACTACTTAAAGTAGTTAACCTACCTTAACTCAACTTATCCAACTTGACTCAATCTTGTGTTGACCAAATTCATCTTAGTATGACCCCTCATAATCTAATATATTTTGTCTTGATATTGTCTAACTTATCTTAAGTTGATCTGTCATTGGTTATTATCTAACTTCACTTAACTTGACCCAACATGATTTATCATTATTTAGTCTAACTTATCTCAACATAACTTAACTCATCTCAATCCATCAATCTAATATGCCTTGATCCAACATTTTTAACCTAGTTCAATTTATCTTAGATCATTCTTGACTTTACTATTTTGATTTGTTTTAATCTAATTTATCTCAATTTGTCTTGATCCAATCTAACCTATGTTAATAAAGGAAATTGAACCTAATTTACAAGTTTAATAATGATAATTTTTATATTTAATAATAATTAAAATATTTTATTTAAATAAAAAAATAATTTCAATAAATTTAGATTATCTTATCTAAATAAAATATTTAAAAAATTCAATTATTTTAAATAAAAAAATTGTATATTTAAATTTTTTGAAATTAAAAATAGCATATCCAAAAAAAAAAATACGCCTGACATTTAGTATATTCATTGGCATAAAATTATTAAATGTAGTCAACGTTAAACTTGAAAATAATTTAATCTTTTGAATTTAGGTTAAGTTTTATTTTCATTTTTCAAATTTAAAATTTAATAATTCTAGATTATCTTAAGTTCAAATAATATTTTTTGGGACAGTTTTAAAAATATAATTTATGATTGTCTTAGATTCTCCAAATTTATATTAAAAAATAATGTTTTAAAACATGACAACATTAAATTCCAAAATTGAAAAAAATAAAAACAAATTCCACAATAAAAACCTTGTTGATAGTTGTGCGAGAGTAAAATAGTGAGAACAAAAATCAATTTTTTTTAAATAATAAAAAATAAATTCTCAAATAAGATAATGAAGAGAAAAATATGTTTTTATTTTTTTTGTTAATATTTCCTTAATTGTATTTTAAAATTAATGAATTCAATTATCTAACACCGTAAAACTTATATTATTTTATTTTTTATTTATATAAATTTAGTATTTAGTGATAATTTTTTATTTATAAAAAAAGTATGATTTATGTAATATTTATTTTTAGTTTTTTATATCTAAATTTAGTTTTTAATAATAAAATTTATTAATATAAAATTTATAAAAAAAATCAAATTTATATTTTCTTAATATTTATGGGTTGATTCATTCAATTTTAAATGATAAAAACTAAAATCAAGTTGAGCCAAAAAAAAATTGTAACCTTTCAATTAATTGCAAGTTGTGTATATGGTAACGTAGATAGTGACACTTCCCTCTATCACTTCAACGTTAAACATGCTTAAAGAACCATGAACCAAAAATATCATTTCTCATAACTTGAGATTAAAAAAAAAATTTCAATTTAATAATAAAAAAATAAATATATGTTTAGTTCTATAAAATTGATTAGTTATAATGTTGTTTTTTATAATTATTTTTTAATTCTATTAAACTTAAAATAACTATTTTTAGTTCTAATAAAATGTATATTTTTTAATTTAATTTTCTATAAAATATATCTTTCTATTTTCGTTCGTTTTAACTTTTAAATTTTAAATTATATTTTTATATTATATCGAAGTTTAAGGAAAAACTAAAATCGAAACAAATAGTATAATTTAAAAAACTATTTAATATGTGGACTGTTCAATGAATTATATATATATATATATATATATTATATTTAAATCTATAATAAATTATTATTTTAAATTAATAAAAAGAGTATGTATATAAATAAATATTAAAAGGATAGTTTGAGATAGAGATACATTTGCCTATTTATAAAATAGTATGTAAAATGTAGTTTTTAAGAAAAGAGAAGAAGATAATTCTACAAAAGAAAAATAATATTTTTTTCTTATTATATATCACTTTAATATTGATTTTTAATTTTTGCTAATGTTATCATATGTATAATCATGTTTTTTTTTTCTATCAATGAGAAATTAAAACTTTACTTAACAAAAATATTCAAATTGTGGTGGAATCAACTACTTATTAATAGCAACATAGAATTAGAACATATAGTAAAATGATTTTATATCATTATATAAAGAACAAGATATTACAATAGTTAAATGAGAAGTTTATAATTTTTGGAGATTCTCTAATGGATAAGTTTCTTACATTATTATATATATATATATATATATATATATTGAACATGATATCTATATATTGAACATGATATCTATAGAAAGACGCACACATAACAAGGTAGAGAGAGCAGAAGAATGGAGATTGAGAAGCGAGCTAAGGGCAGTGAGGAAATGGGCGGTGAGCGAGAAGAGAAGGGGAAGCTGCGTCGACAAGGAGGCATCAGAACATTACCTTTCATCCTTGGTCAGTCACTCTCTCATCTTTCTACTGTTATTGTTTTCCTTAAACTTAACTCATTTTCTACCTTTTACTTAACTTCTGTTACATTCATTTCTCTCTCAATCTTACTTATTTCTTTTTTTCTCTTTTGTTTACCTTTTTTACTTAGATCAAATTTTCTAAGGAGAGAAGATGGTGAAAACTGAACATTGGAGAATTTATAAAATAGACTACATTTTTTTTTTCTGTTTTTTTTTCGTAAATGTTTTTAAGTTATTTAATAAAAAAAAAATCCTGACTTGATAAGTACTAGGTATATATCTTTTGTATTATTATGTTTACTAATATATATATATATATATATATATATATATTGAATGAAATATTTAAATTATAATTTCCGGTTTTAAATTACAGCCTATCAAGTAAGTGTTACGTATCTTCATTTAATAATAATAATAAAAAAAGTGAAGTTTTCACTTAATTAATTAACCTAATACTGTTTTTTACCGAACACATGAAATGGAACAGTTTCACATGCAAATGTTCCGCATCTCTTTTTAACTTATTCATCTTATAAGCTTTAAGCTTATACTATTTTATTTTACATAAAATTAATTTATTTATTAATGATATTCTTTTTTTCAGTAAACCCGAGATGTTCCTTTATCAACGCCAATCACTACTATTTCGAAATATTTAATTTCATTGTTCATTATAACATGTAATAATGATTAGATTAATTGTATTAAATTTATTAATTTTGTGTATATAATTCCTTAAAACTATTAAGAACTCGTTTTCTTAGTCTCCATTTACCTAATTAGTTAATGTTGTAAACAATTTGGACCAGATCTTATAAATATGAAGAAAGATTATAAATAACAATTGAACTCGAAGGATTGTTCTGACTCTATCTTAAATTTGATATAAAAAAATTGAGTTGACAGGATGATAAGTTTTTTCCGTTTCAAAAAATTAGGGTACGAAGATAAATAATATAAATCCTATTTAATTCGTCCAATTTTATATTTAAATTTTAAAATATTAATATTTTAAAAGTATTTTTTTCTTTATTTATTATATATAATTTTTTTTAATTTCATTATTTTTATTATTTTTCTTATCCATTATTTATCAAATTTTATCTTAATAAAATAATTATATTTTAAAAGATTAAAAATAATTAATAATTAAAATTTTTATTACTTTAAACTAATTAAATAAAAATTAATTTATTAAATATTTTTTTATAAATTTTATATTTTATATTTTTAAATAATAACTTAAAAAATTAATTTATATATATATAATAACATATTTAAATATATAATAATAATAATAATAATAATAATAATAATGTTATAAGAATTTTTTATATGTATTAAGAAAAAATAATTAAATATTATATATATATATATTAATATAAATATAATAAATTAAAAAATATATTTAATTAATAATAATTATAAATATTTATTTATATATAAATATTAAAATTAGTTTATTATAAATATAATTATTTCGTTTGATAACGGAACAAAGACGGTAAAAAAGTCAAGTTAAAGAAAAAAATACATAAAAATAATAAAAAAAGTTATTTAATAACAAACTTTTGAATTATCACGAAAACATGTGTTTTTGAAAATATTATTTTTATTTCATTAACTTATGTTAAAATTTGAATTATTTTAAAAAACTAAAAAATAATTTTTTATAATAAAATTATTTATTTTTATCTCGCTAAGCATTTTAGTCAAAGAAAACCATTTTATCATAATGGCTTATGCAATTAATATTTTTGTAAGACATTACATTATTTCACAATACAAAAAAATGAATATAAAGAAAGGATGATAAGTAATTTTCAAATTAAAAATCACATGAAAATATATTGATGATCATTAAACAAGTGAATTCTCATCTAATAAACAACAAATTTTCTTAATTATTTTCGTAAAGAGACTTATTGAATACTACTTGACAACTATATCAACAAATGAGTAGTGTGCAGGACATCATAATTTCAGTATCTAACAAAAAATTGATAAAAATGGTGCAGCAAATGAAGTGTGTGACAGATTTGCAAGTGCTGGTTTTCATGGTAACTTGATAAGTTACTTGACCCAAGAGCTGAACATGCCATTGGTATCTGCCTCAAACACATTGACAAACTTTGGTGGAACATCTAGCTTCACCCCTCTCATTGGAGCTGTTATAGCAGATTCCTTTGCTGGACGATTTTGGACCATTACTGTTGCTTCTCTCATTTATGAACTGGTTTCTTACCCTTTCCTTTTCCACTATAATCTACTATAAAATAAAATAAAGCATTAAGATTAATCTCATTTTTTCTTCAATGTATTCAAAATTTCAAACTTGAAACATCACCACAGTTGCAGTTAGAGAAAGCTTTAAATTCAAGCGAGTGAGTTCAATTCCAATCCAAGTATTTTCCATTTGGTACACCCTACCAAATAATTTCTGTCAACTATTCTGTTTGACACAGGGATTGATTAGCATCACTGTATCAGCTATACTGCCACAATTACGACCTGCACCGTGTCCTACACAAGTGAATTGCCAAGAAGCCACATCCTCACAGCTGTGGATACTCTACATCTCTCTCCTCCTCACATCTGTTGGATCTGGTGGCATTAGACCTTGTGTTGTGCCCTTTTCAGCAGACCAATTTGACATGACCAAAAGTGGCGTAGCATCAAGGAAATGGAACCTCTTCAACTGGTACTTTTTCAGCATGGGATTGGCTTCTCTAAGTGCTTTGACAATTGTGGTTTACATTCAAGACAATATGGGATGGGGCTGGGGCCTTGGAATTCCAAGCATTGCCATGTTTGTATCCATCATTGCCTTTGTGCTGGGAGCACCACTCTATAAGACTACCAAACCAGAAGGAAGCCCTTTGGTTCGTTTAGCCCAAGTAATTGTAGCAGCTGTAAAGAAAAGGAAGGAGACTTTACCGGAAGATCCCAAGCTTTTGTACCACAATTGGGAACTTGATGCTCCTATTGCTTTGGAAGGGAGACTTCTACACTCTGATCAGTATAAGTAAGTGAGATATTAATCTCTTTAGATTTGAAACCAAATACTTGAAACATGAATCAAGGTGTGGGATTGGCTATTATTGACCTTGCATTTTAAGGGATTTAAACTTTATTTAAACACCAACTTCAAATGTTGAAAGCCTTCAGTAATACTATGGTCCACCCTCCACCAATCCTTCACTTTTTCTATGTAAATGCTATACGATGAACAACTTCATGCATGAGATTTCAGTAACCCAAATACTTGATAAAACACACATAATTAACTTGAAAGTAATACTTAGTGTTCTTTTTTATTGATTAACAATGCAAAAGTTTTTATCCTAATTGCTTGTAGAAATTAAACTCTTACTTTAACTACTCGATGTGATTGTAGATGGTTGGACAAGGCTTCAATTGTCACAGAGGAGGAGGCCAGAGATCCATCTACAACACCAAACTTATGGAAATTAGCCACTGTCCACAGAGTTGAGGAGCTAAAATCTATCATTAGAATGCTTCCTATTTGGGCATCAGGAATTTTGCTCATAACTTCTTCATCGCATCTGCATAGCTTTGTAATTCAACAAGCTCGCACAATGGACCGTCACCTCTCTCCCTCTTTCCAAATTTCCCCAGCCAGCATGTCCATTTTTAGTGTGCTAACAATGATGTCAGGAGTTGTTCTATATGAACGCCTTTTTGTTCCCCTTGCCCGTAGGTTCACAGGGAACCCGTCTGGAATCACTTGCCTTCAAAGAATGGGAGTAGGCTTCATGATTAACATCATAGCCACTGTGGTTTCTGCACTGATTGAAATGAAAAGGAAATCAGTTGCTGCCAACTACCACTTGTTGGATGATCCAAAAGCCATTATTCCTATAAGTGTGTTCTGGTTGGTACCTCAGTATTTTCTGCATGGGGTGGCTGAAGTTTTCATGTCTGTTGGGCATTTGGAATTTCTCTTTGAGCAATCACCTGAAAGCATGAGAAGCAGTGCTACAGCTCTGTACTGCATAACCTCAGCTGTTGGGAACTATTTAGGTACATTGCTGGTGTCATTGGTGCATAAGTATACTGGCACTGAGAGAAACTGGCTTCCAGATAGGAACCTCAATAGGGGTGGGTTGGATTACTATTACTTTCTTGTTAGTGGGATTCAAGTTGTAAATCTTGTTTATTATTTGATATGTGCTTGGTTCTACACTTACAAGCCCGTGGAAGAGATTAGTGAAAGGAACAAGGAAGAAGATTTGGAACAAGTCAACGAACATATCTCATCCGACAATTAAAAAAGATGGTAGGGAGGAAGAGACGAGAGGATTTACAAAAGATCAATGAACTTATACGGTTGATAGGGATTTTAGCATTGCTGAACTCCATGTTCTTTTCCTCGTCAAATGGCATATGTAAGCATAGACCGCAAAATGTCTTATGTTTTATGTCTAGTTACTACTATATCTATTAAGGGTAAGCATTGAATTTTTAAAAATTTAATCTAGATTCAATTTTAATTGAACCTAAGATCCATATTTATTTTATTCAATCCAACCTAGTTTTACTTTATTTTCAAATTGATCTACCTTAATTAAGATCTAAATTGATTTGATTTGACTCGCCGTAACATAGGTTCAATACAAGCCAAATCTAATATAACTTATATCTGGGATCGTTTGACTTGACCCAATCGTACTAGGTTTGAATGGTTCTCACTTAAGTTTCACTCAACTTGACTCAATCCTATCCAACCTGACTTAAGTTAGTTCAACTTGATTTAACCTAATCAAACTTGTCATTTGCTCAATCCGACTCAACCTTATAAGCTTGACCAAACTTGACATACCTAACCTAGTCAAGTCTAACATAATACTGTCCATCCCAATCAAATCCAACTTAACCTATCTCATCCCAACTTGATCAAACTTAAATTAATCTAACCTAATTAAACTTGACCCGATCCAATCTCAATCTAACTTTATTCCAGAGAATCTTATAGTGTGTGACCTTACCTAGCCTAACCTGACATAATTAGGTTTAATCTAGTCCGACTTATGTCGATTCAACCTGGCCTAACACTACTAAAAAACAATTTATTTGCTGAAAATTTTTCTACAAAAACTTATTTGTGAAAAAATACTTGGAATATTTGTTAGAAATAATAATTCATATATAATAGCTGTATATTTTCTTAGGAAGAAATATTCACATGAAATAACTACAATTTTTATCTAAAAAAAATATTAACAATTTTTTTTGCAAATATATTAATTATATATATATTTTAAAAAATAAAATTTTGAAAGAACATGGACAGGTATTGAAAATTATTTTTTACCATCTTTATTGTGAATATAAATTTCTAAGAAATGTTATAATATTAGTGTAAATGGTAGGAACAATCATAAATAATTTTTATTATAATTTTTTTATAAACTTTTTTTTATAGGAAAACATAATATAATATTTTTAATTTATTATTTTGAATAATTAAAATAATTTATTTAATAAAACATTATTTTATTAAATTAATTATGAATATTTTGTTCAACAAATTAAATCAATAATTAATTTTAAATTGAAATATAATTATTGATTTTTTTCTAATTTATATAATTAAAAATATAGTAAAATTTTATTTTTATTAAATATTATACTTATTTTACGCAAAAAAATTATATTATAATATTAATAGAATATAATAATTTAATAAAATTATTAGAATAATATTTTTTATATTATAATATTAATAGAATAGAATAATTTAATAAAATTATTTGAATAAAATTTTTCAAGTTTGACTCACCCTAACTCGTACTTCTTCTTTGGAAATTATACATTTATAGGGTATTTTGAATTCTTAGGTCTTTTTCTCATTCTATTTCCATTGGGGAGAAACATCCATGTTAAGATCATTGTGTTTTTAGGATTGATATAATTGATTAATTGATTGCTAAATATGTCCCAAAACTTCTTAATTTTGATGTTGATATTGTGTTTGATGAGAAAAAACTTCAAATTTATGTTGCTTGTTCTTCATGCACTGAGCGGCAGGTGAATTTGCTCAGCAAATATCTGATAATAATTGAATTAGTGTCACGTCTCGATGGAAGTGTTAAGCGGAAGAGTAATTCGCTCAACAACTTTGCTTCAGTAGCCATTTTTGAAAGTCATGCTGATCTGGGTGCTAAGCGGAAGCTGAAATCCGCTTAACGAATTTGTTTCAAATTTGAATGAAAAACCCGATAAAAGCGCTGAGCAAATGCAAATTCTGCTAAGCGAATTTAGGGCAAAAAATAAAAAATTTGAAAACATTCTAGAAAATATTTTTGACTTTTTAGAAAATCTAGAACCTAAATTTATTGATTCTTCTATATCTGAATTAAAACATTTGCCTTCTAATTTAAAATATGTATTTTTGGGTGATGATGGTTCTTTTCTTATTATTATATCTAATTTGTTAAATGTTGAGCAAGAACATAAATTAATTTTTATAATTAAGAAAAATAAAGAGGCTATTATTTGAAATCTTAATGATATTCCTGGTATTAGTCCTTTTGTATGTTTCAAACCAACTCATGTCGTAATGAACTTGGACAAAAATTCAATCTCCCTAATGTAGTGTAAGGAATGACCAAAGTCAGAATTCAAGGACACAAACCCAAACATTCCATTGCTAAACCATTCTTCTTTGATTACAAGTTAATTTTGTGGAAAATTAAACTAAAGAATTGAATTTACTTTGAAATCAAAATTGAAAATTGAAAACGAAAATCAAAATTAGAGTGAAGAAAATTGAAATTGCAATTAATAATCAAAGAAGAGAAAATTGAAAAAACCAATGCACCGAGCAACAATTGAAGTGAAGGATTATGCAATGAGAATTGGAAACCGAGAATGAATGACTAGAAATTGAATTGAAATCAAACAAGATACTGGAATTGATAACTATAATTAAAACACAACTAAGAATTGAAATTGAAAGTTGATATCGGAAATGCAAGTAAAGAAAACTAAAATGAATTGGAAATCATAACAGCAACATATTCAATCGAAAAACAATAGATTGATCATAATTAAAATCAAAACAAGAAATCAACATTAAGTTTACAAATACAAGCTAATCAAAATCAAATTGGAAATATAGAATTAAAATCAAACCATTGGAAGCCATCGAAAATAAAAAGTAAAGATTGAAAATAAAACTAGAAATGAGAGTGAATCAAAATTGAATTTGAAATTGAAGACTGGATTCAATTGAAATTGCATGAATGAAAATAGGAAATCAAAATTGTAATCAATCGGTTCCTTACTTGTTTCTTAATCCAATTGATGCATTGCAATTAGGAACTAAAAAAATCTTGATTGAAATTCAAGAGCGAGAATCGATCGATGCAAGAATTTCAAAGTACAAAAATGGTAAAAGGCAAGAAAGTAAGAGCGAGAAGAAGTTAAACTGAAAACAAGAAATTGGAAAAACTATAACAGAGGAGAGAGAATTCTTCAATTGGAAAGTGCAGCAAATGAAACGTGCTCAAGTCTCCATAGAAAAATGTGTCAAAGTCTCTTTCTCTACTCTATATAAATTTTTCTGAACGAGGGAAAACTAATGGGCCACGCCTGATTCAAAATTGGGCTTATAGTACCGAAAAAGTTTTAAACTTATATGATTTATTAAAAATAGGTCTGGACACAACATGTTTCATTTGTCCAAATTGAAGCCTCGAAAGTAAAGAATCCAACGCAAAAAGAATCAACTAAAACGAACGTATGTAGAAAAATATATAAAGGAAATAGTAAGCAAAGGTCAATGTTAAAAAATATAAAAATATAGTAGAAAAATACATAAAATAGTACGTAGGGATGAAGACATTAATAAGAATAATTTTGGAATACTTGCTAAAAGATTTAATAAAGTCAAAAGAAGATATTGTATTAGTTTATTGGTATGCCTGCATCTACATTGTATGGCTATAAGTATATATTCTCTTCTTAATCATGAGTTTCTTTCTTTTGCAAAGTATAAAGTGCCTCAATTATTTTTAATTTGTTAAAAATCATTTTAAACGATTAATATGTTATTTAGTCAAAATTTTAATTGATATATTTTTTAAATAATTGATTAAAATCACTTAAACAACTTAAGAACACTTTCGATCATAATTTTAATTGATACATTTTCAAAATAATCAATTAAATTCACTTAAAATTTAGAAAACTTTCTGACAGATTTTTAATTGGTATAACTTCGAAATAATCAATTACAAACACTTAAACATTTTTGTATTGTAGCTTTAATTGATAAAATATCATTTTTATCAATTAAAATGCCTCCGAAAAATATCCAGAATAACCTCGTTTTTATCAATTAAAATGTCTTTGAAAAGTATCTAGAATAATTTTAATCAATTAAACGTCATTTTTATCGGTTAAAACACCTCTGAAAAATATCCAAAATTGTTTTGTTTACATCAATTAAAACGTCTATGAAAAATATTCATAAATTTTTAATCGATTAAAACATGTTTTTAATCAGTTAAAACATGTTTTTATCAGTTAAAACGTCTTGGAAAAAATTTACAAAACCTTTTTAATCGATTAAAATGCATTTTCATCGGTTAAATTCATTTAAACTAAGTTGTTTAATCGATGAAAGTGCGAATTGATTGATTAAACGTGTCAATTAGATAGCAAAAATCTCTATATAAACAGATTTTTACCTGCGTTTCAAAACACATCTTTGAGAAATCATTCAAGCAATCTTTAGAGATATTTTCCAAGAGAGAAATGTGCATCACTCATTAGAATTCTTTTGAAATCCTTCTTGAGACTCTTTGTTCTTTTTTTTAGGAAACTCATTCTGTGATTATATCTTTGCATCTACATATTGATTTAATTGTTGTAATTTCTTCAAGCATCTTGTTTCTTCATTCGTTTCTTTGTATTTTCGGTGTCTGGAATTGTGAGCACTGAGTTAAGCAACTGGAATTATGAGCACTAGGCTAAGCAACTGGAATTGTGGTTGTTGTCATAAGTTCAAAAATAGGGTTATAGTTCTTGGTGTAGATTGATTTTTTACAATCTGTTATTGTAATCAATCGATATTTGATTAGTGGAACTTAACTGGAATTTGGTTGAAAACTGAATGTAGCCCAATAGATTAGGTGATCCGAGTATAAATTTGGTGTTTTTGCTCTTCTTCCATATCTTTCTTTCATTCAAGATTGTTGTTATTTGGTTCAAGTATTGATTGATTTAGGGTTTATTTGAAATTTATAATCTGTAGTCAAAAATT